CAACAGCTCTGATCCACCTCGAGTTTCGAGCCGAAAACCAAAAAGATTCAACTACCCAAAAAATCGAGAAAAATCATAACCCAGTTCATAAGAATCCTGCAAAAATTCTAGCTTGCTCACGTAAACACTATCCACATAAGACATATATTTACGCTATTGCCGCATTTTTTCCTCTCTAGAAGTCGAAAAAACGAAAATGTTCATGCTTTTGCCAAAGTGATGCTGTGTCGTCCCCACATAAGTAGATGTGTACTACAAATCTGTAGAAGTACAAACGTAAATTTTCAGCTCTCTACAAGCTTTAGTTCTGGAGAAATATCGAATATAGCTTTCATTAGTCAGGTAGTCCAAATTAAAGTTCAAATTTCTCGAGAACTAAAGCTTGTAAAAAGCTGAAAATCCACGTTTTTACTTCTACAGATTTGTAGTATACATCTACTTATGTGGGGACGACACAGCATCACTTTTGCAAAAGCATGAAAATGTTCGTTTTTTCGATTTCTAACAGAGGAAAATATGCGGCAATAGCGTACATATATGTCTTATGTGGATAGTGTTTACGTGAATAAGTTAGAACTTTTGTAGAATTCTTACGAACTGAATTATGATTTTTCTTGATTTTTCGGGCAGTTGGATCTTTTTTGTTTTTGGCTGAGAACTCGAAGTGGATCAGAGCTGTTGCTAAAGCAAGACTGCCACCTTGTAGAGCTTGCTTTGCTCTATCGAATGGTACCTTGAAAGCTACTCAGGAATGAAAAGTGTATGATTTGTTGTGGTTGAAATTCAAACCGGACACTAACTTCCGGACAATCTATTACATCTAGTATCAACGTATGAGTTGCTCGCTGTTATATTGTCCATGCAAAATTTCTGTCTTTCTTGCACTCTGGTCAAGATTTGACATATATCTTTGGTTTGTCTATCTTGGAACGTTCCGAGTGTATAAGCGAGAAGGAAAACAAATGAAAAATGAAAATGAAAGATAAATTCTGACAGACCAAGATAGAAAGGAAATTGTATGAGCATGCTATAGAGATTATAGAGTCTCATGAAGTCACATTTGAATTCCTCTACTGCTATATTATAATGTATTACATATACTATCATTATTATTGAGATGAGCATCATTTGCATGCATAGTTTTAGTATGTGATAGGCATTGAAAATCAATCGACCTTAAATTTGAAATAATGCCTTTTGGGCTGCATTCGTGAAGCATAGATCAATGTTGAGATTCAAGACAGTAAAACTGCTTGTGGAACATTTACTTTTCATATACGACGATAAACGCCAGTAATATCCTATTCATTAATCGTGTTACTTTTGCTAGAAAAAGTTTACTTATCTTAGCAAATTCCGAAGCAAGGCAGACATCCAGTACGACGAGTAGAATGAGGGTATGTTCTAAGAGCAAAATTTTTTACTGAATTGAACTTTCGGGAAGTTGAATTTTTGAAATCGTCATGACCTTACATGCTTATACAAGGAGAGCTTATTATAGCGGTTTACATTCTATGTGCAATCTATAAAACATATCGAACTATAAGGAAGAGATAGCACAAAAATGAAAGCAGCATAGGCAACGCTGGCCGATCTACTCACACTTGAGCTTTCTAATTCGCTTAAAAGGGGGCCGCATGCTCATTCATTACCTCGGGGTTTTTAAGCGGGTGAGCATGAGAATGGAGGATGGCTGCTGGTGCTGATTCTTGAAAATTGCTCCTCATATTTTGAAGAGAAATAACAATAAGGTACTTTGAAATGCATTTTCTAAACAGGCAGTAGCTGTAAAACTGGAAGTCCAATGAACTACTGAAAAACGCTTTCTAGGGATAGCCATTCTGTACCAGCCAGTTGCCAATCATATCACAGTGCATAGATATCCAACGAGCGAAATTCATGAAATTGGTCCCAGCGCTAGTGTCCTGCTGAAGGACTGAGTGATGAGCCTATCTTGAATTAGAAAGTTGTAATTGTGCTCTTTAGGGAGATTATCAAAACAATAATTTAGTGTAAACAATTCTTCTTGAAAAGAACAAGTTTTTTTCCTAAATTCTGCCATGCGGCTGTTAGTTGATTCAAGAAATGGAGATCTACCTTAGCTTTCCATCTCATTTAAAAGATGGTTGAGCATATAGTAGGCTCTAAAGGCTTTGGAAGGCGTACGAGATGGCGAGGCAGCGCGTGAAAGCGGAGACGCAGACCAGCAAAGGAGAAATAGAGTGTCGATGAGCATTTGGTGGTTGGAGAAGCAGCGTATTCTCTTCAGACCTTGCGACGTTCCATATCAATCTGTTCTTCATGTAACGGTTAGAAGCGCTTCCAGGGCTACCATCGTCGCCAAAGTGAACAACTGTATAACCAATTAAAGCCGATATCCGCGGAAGTGGCTCTTTACGCTAATTTTTTGAGCGCGTTCTTCATTGAAGGCTATCAGCATCGGAAGTCTGACTTGATACCTGGACAGCTAGGCGAAAAACATCGTGGCCAGGAAAATCAGATCAATGTGTTTGGTCAAAACTTTTATGTGGTTACTAATGTTTTTCCGCTTGTTGAGAGGCGCAATTTTCGTGTCAAAAAACCACCCAAACCGTTCTGCTCCTGATTTTGTCACCGATATTTGGCAATAATGTCTTAATTTGAGTTCTTTGAACTAAAAATATTGAAGTACAGACTCTTCATTCCTCATCATGCGACCAAAGATGCAGAAATGTGTTAACATGTCACCTCTCATCCAGCTGCTCCCTTGAGCCTCTTGTTTGTTCTATTCGCTATTAGCTACGCGAATTCTCACCAGACATGGCAATTTCTTGCAATTGCTCTCTTCCAGTTGCCACATACGATAATTGTCATGACTCCTGTTCATTTATCTGTTTATTAGTGAACTTACATGATCTTAACTTTCTCAAGAACAAAACTTGTCCAGATTTTAGTATAACAGTTCAACAACAACAGTTTAATTTCTCGCAGTTATTCCCGTCAAATAAGTTAATAGCAAGTAAAGTAAACCTTTTAGGTTGTCCCATAAATCTTTTCATTTTTGAGTATTCGCTGTAATAAATGAATTTCTTGTTTCAAATAGAATCAGGATACCGTTCGATAGAGCAAAGCAAGTTCTATATGGCACTTACGCTTTTGCACCAGCTTCGATTCATCTCAAGATCAAAACAAAAATCTAAAAAGTTTCGGATGCTCAGAAGATTAAAAAATTTTCTATATCTCTGTCCAAAGAAGTCCTACAAATCTCTCACTTGCTCACGCTATACACTTCACACTAGATACTCATATGTGCTGTTGCTGTATTTTTTATTAGCTATAAACCAAAGTGATGCTGTGCTGTTCTTACACTAACGTTGTATACTACAAGCCCCTAAAAGCAAAACCGTAAGAATTTAGCTCTCTATTATTTTTGGTTTCTGAAATTTTGAGTTCGTGAAAAACGCGAATGAAGGCAGCTAGATTCGATATTTCTCGGGCACTAGAGTAAAGAGCTAAAAATTTACGGTCGACTTCATTTACTTTTTCATTTGTTAGTGTAAGAACAGCACAGCATCATTTTGATTAGAGAAAATTTTTTGTTTTCTTGATTTCTAGCTAATAAAAAAATACAGCAACAGCACATAGTCTGATGTGGAGTGTATGTGCTTGAGCGACTGAAAGACCTGTAAGACTTTTTTGAAGATATAACAAATTTTTTAATTTTCTGGTCTAAAACCTTCTAGATTTTGATTTGAAACATGAGGCGAAGCTGGTACAAAAGCATAAATGCCATCTTATAGAACTTGCTTTTTTCTATCGAATGGTATCCCGAAGTCTATTTGGAATAAGAAGGGTATGATTTATCACAGCGAAAACTCATAAACGAAAAGACTTATGGGATAAATAAATAGATTAAAGACATAGAAACAGGATAATTGTGCTGCATAGTTATGGCCACCTTTTGAAGTCACGGATAGCAACGACAAGTTTGAAAATTCCTCCAATACTGTAATATTATAACAGCTCTACTGAAGTGGTAAAGGACTTTTTCCTATTCCCTTTCAAATGTTGGCTCTAAATAGCTAATCCCTCAAATCGCTGAGAAGAAATTTCTAACTCTCACTACCTACACCTGAAAGACCTCGACAGTGGTGCTCTTCAATCTTCACACTTTTTCGAAACTGATCACCCGTCAGTTAGAAGCATTATAGGAAGGAATCACATAAATAGACGACTTTGTCCTTCCAACTAAGCGGAGGCGAGAAAAATAGCAGTGATAAATTTTTTTTTGCAACCTTATTCCCCAATGACACTTTTCATGTGCCAAAGTGTAGTGAAATGTTGATTTATACAGAGTTCGAAAATAACGAGCTATGCAAAATTTGGACTATTCAAAAAGGATTTTCATCTGTTAGATTTTATTGTCATCAAAAGATGCATTGGCACGCTCTATCCCGCCGTCCACCAGACACCAGACACTCTCCCATAGCGCTCAGCTATGCCCAGCATCTTGCAACTACCGTGTAATTTTCAGTTTTTTGAAGCGCAGGAAATTCTTGCACCATAAGTGCTAAGATTTTTGAAACGCAACCATTTAATTTCTAGCCTTTCGTGCGAGTTCCTTTATACCTCATCCTCATTATACACAGCAACTATTTCTTTTTCTTATCTCATCAGCGTTCTTATATTGACTTGATTACAAGACTACAGCACTGAACTTACTGTAGCATAGCCTAAAGCCTTCTTCTATTTTTTCTATTTTCAGTTTCCGATTATTGAGTTTTTCGTTGGAGAAGTCAAGAATGGGAAGCAGTACCATCTAAAAATAAATTTCACAGGCCACCTTACCTACCTTACGTCAAAATCGATAGATGCAAATAAACAAATAGTCACAACTTGCTAGATGTACTTTGATGATTTAAACATTCTGACTAGTTTCTGTCACAATTTTTATTAACCAAAATAAGGACATATTTACAATTCAATATGACCGTTGTATTAAATAAAAGTTCAACTTTAGTATGGAAGATGACGATTTGGACGCGCTGATAATCAACTACTACTATGCGACCTATGTAGTAGTTTCTGTTTCTACCAATGTCCTGCTTATTTTCCTCGTCAAGTACAGGTGAGTTGGTGCACAGGAGTTTGTAAAAGCGCATGAGGAAAGCTCAACGGCACTTCACCGTATTGTAGACGAATGGCGATTGCCTCAATTCCATCCCTCCAGTAACCGTTCAGATACATTGATATTCTGACAAGAGCTAAACTCTGTGTATAGCACGTGTACAAGCTGAGAGTAGCTACACAGAAAGCTGCCTTGATTGAAAAAAAATTTTTTTCCTGTTTTATAGTCTTCATTCAGGACATATAAGTACAATCGTTCCCATTTTTTTTCAATGGATGTGCATAATTGAGGCGAGACAGCCATTCTATCAATAACCATCGTCAATTCATCGTTAATCATGAACAATGTACAGTACAGATACAAAAAACGTGTTCTTAATACAGAATCAGAGTAAATAAAGTTGTACAGTAAGGAAAAAACAGCAACCTTTTGCGATTTGAGAACTGAAAGGCAGATCCAAACGTATTCTGCTACAAATTTTTTAGGAGCCCACACAGTCTGCAGAGCTTCAGGATCCTCCTGATCAACACAGCTGCGAATCAAATTATTGTGGCCTTAGTTGAAACTTTTCTCCAAGCAAGGTTTGTTCCCGTGTAAAAGCTGTATTAATTGCCATCTCATACTTCAGATTGCTCCCATCAAATGATGTCTTAGCTCTGCTTCCTGTCGGACCTTGTCGCCATTTTGGACCAATGACTTGCTATGTTGCTTACAACGTTGTGAATGCTGCGAACGTCAACGTTGCGATATCTGTGCTCCACTCAATGTACTTCCGATATCGCTTGATCAAGACTTCCCAGTTGTCCAAGAGGAAGGTGCAAAGAAATTTGCTAATCTCCTCCATCTTACCGTTGCTAATTTTGGTGAGTTTCTTACTCTAGCGAGAATAATAAATTAACACACGCCTTGTACCATGTTGAAACCCTCTTAAGGTGGTTAGCTAACAAGTAGAATAGAGTCAGTGAAAGGGTCGCAGATGTGTTGTTGAACGCTCTATAGAAGCATCTACGTTATAGTACATTAGCAGCCATATGCAAAACCTTTCAAACCCAAGTAAAGTACGCTCAGATATTGACTAGCGGGTTGTACAGAAATGCGCGGGCATGCTGCCAACGCTTGCCGTGGCACAGTGATGTTTCAAAGGCAGTGGATCGGCAAAACTTAACAATTCAAGATCAGGATTCGGCACGAGGTGGCTAGATGAAAATGCAAAAAAAGAAGTCCCTTTTGATTTTTGCGGATATTTACGAAGTCCCTTTGACCCTCCACCATAATCCCTAAAAAATCTCCAAAAAACGAAACGTCGATTAATATAACGTCGCAATTTTTTTAGGTCTCTAAAACAAATTTCCCTTTGCTTTTTGTCCCAAAAACAATACCCAGCTTGCATACAAGCCATCTGTGCCGAGCCCTGTTCAGATTTAACGCGTTACGTTGCCTATCACCTATGTGGTGGCTGTAGGCTTTATTGTAGCTTAGGCGAATGGGTGGCGCCTGTAGTGGAGTGTGGTGGCTCCTGAAGTGTTATTAGAACACGTAAGCTGTTAGAGCTTTATTATACAGACAACATGCACCCATTCGTGCAGTGGTAGAATGCTAACTATGATAGGCGTGGCAAAGTAATGCTACAAACGTCTGGGCGATAATATACTCATATCACAGCAGGTCATGCTCATGGCATGACCTTTACGGGGCTCAGGCAGGAGTAATGATATGGATGTAAGGAAGGCGCCGACAAACTTTTGCGCATGATAATTCCATAGGCTTTCTTGTGACTTTAATTGTGCCAACTGTGTTGTTGTTGTGCAATATTTGTATACACAGTTCTCTATATACCTTGTTGAACAACACTTCCCTTTTATAAGTATAGTAGCAGTCGTCTTTATTTTCACATACTATCGGCAGTGTGGCGCATATAACCATGTTGACAAGCTGATACATTTGCAACTATCGCCATCAAGGCTAAAGCTGTAGTCATGGTTCTGTGATTGAACGTGGCAACACGAAAGCTTGTCAGGCCCACCGTTTCCATTTCAAATTCCCTCGGTCGCGACTTGATTTGGAGTTGTTAGTCTAGTCCCATTCCCATTCGTATTCCTATATCTCATGACTTGTTTCGTGACGTAGGTAGTTATCACCAAGATCATGAAACCTATGACTGCTAAGCCAATAGCTACTGATAGTATGGCTGCAGTTGGCCCTAGTGTGGATTCCCAGTGAGCGTTTTTGAAAGGAATTTCTTTGCATTTTCACAGAAGTTTGGTGGTTCGCAGTATACAATTACCGACTGTGTGTGATCTTCTCGTGCTGTTTTCATTGTCACTTTTGTTCGTGCGTTGTTAGGTGATATCGGCAATTGGAATTTCATTTTACTCGATGTTCTAAAGAACGTTTTGCACTCCTTACCGAAGCACAGGGCGAACGACTGTCTTGGCTGGCGTAACGGCGGCTTGGTGGCAAAGTGACGACTGACTTGGCTGGCGTAACGGCTGCTTGATGGCAGAGTGACGACTGACTTGGCTGGCGTAACGGCGGAATATACAGATATAACAGCAACAGTCGTAGGTCGTCGAATATGTGCAGTTGCGGTGAAGAGGCGGTATGATGATAGTGACTAAGGGATGGATGGGTGGGGTATTCATGCCGGGTGCCTCCGCTTGCGGTAGGAGTGCGGTGCACTCCCTTGCCTGTTGGGACAAAGGAGCACATTATGCTTGTGCCGACTTGTCGGCACCTTCCTTACAACCATATCATTAATCCTGCCTGAGCACCGTAAAGGTCATGCCATAAGCATGAACTGGTGTGATATGAGTGTGTTTATTGCCCAGATGCATGCCAAGTTACTTTGCTCCGCCTGTTATCCTCAGCATTCTACCACTGCACGAATGGGTGCATGTCGTCTGTTCAATAAAGCTCTAATAGCTTAGTGTTTTATTAACACACGTAGCTACCATACCCCACAACAGGCGCCACCCATTCGCCTAAGGCTACAATAAAGCATACAGCCACCATATTTATGATCCGCAATATTGCAGATGCTATGTGGACAGAAAAGATACTGGAGAAGTTCCCATACCATATTGTCAAAAATGTGTTGATCTCCACTCAGCACAATGAAAAAGTTACGAATGAAAACGTAATGACCGAACTTGAAAAAGAAATTACAGTAAAGATGTTTGTAGACTCTCGTCTGAGAAATCGTGGAAAGGAGTTTGGAAAAGAAAGTCCAAAACCAACTAAAGCACAGGATTTCCACCATAAAGTGGATGTAAGAAGAAAAACAAGACAGTACATATTTTGCAGTAAAGATCATCTTGGCACGCAATGTAAGGCGACTGACGCTCATGCCAAAAGAAAGGTAGTTATAGCTAGAAAACTATGTTAAAAATGCTTTGCGGATGACCATAACAGCTTTGAATGTTCATGGAGCAACTGTTCGGTGTGCAATCAAGCACATAACACCTGTCTGTGCATTCGAACAGACAATTCGAAAAGCACAGAAACAGCAAGGCCACACCGCCCTGGGTACAACAACCGCAATCAAAGTACACGTGCACCACCACAGAGACCATATCCACAAAACCAGCGTACAAACCAAGCAAACGTGCAAACGACTTGCCCGACCCAGGAATCAGAAACAACTCAAGAAATAAACCAACCCAACGAGCAGATTGTCTTAATGACAGCTGAAGGGAACGTCTTTAATCACAAAAAAGCTCGATTTGAAAAAGTCCTCTTCTTTTTTGACAGTGGAGCACAGAAAACAATAATAAAGGAGCAGTTAGCAGAAGAGCTCGGTCTGCCTAAGCAAAGCTCAGATCACTGCGTTATGTCCGGTATAGGAGAACATATAAAAAGGTTCCAAAGTACCAGAGTGCCAATAAAAATAGCAACTGCATATGGAAAGGAAATGGACTTACTCGTCCAAACAAAGCCGGTCATAACGAACGGATTTTCATCAGTTAGACTACTAGAACAAGACAAAAATTTCCTCGAAGATAAGGAAATATGTTTATGCAATTCTAATCTGAATGGCGAACACCATACACCGCAAATTTTAGTAGGAACAGATTTTTACTATGATTTGGTATCAACCAAAGGCATCAGATTGCAATTGCCTTCTGGGCTATACATCACCAATACCGTATTTGGCCCATCAATTCATGGACGTGGCCGGGAGTATTCAAAAACTAACCAGCATGAGATCGTATCTCTGAGCCTCGTAGAAGAAGAAAGGGTACTCCAGAAGATGTTCGAATTGGATGGTTTGGGAATAACCAAAAACGAATTCCAAACAGATAAAATCTTTGAATACCTAGAAAGCTATTCCAAAAAGATTTCCTTCGAAAACGGAGTGGTTACAGCTCCGTTACCGATCAAGGATGACATAATTGATCTCAAAGACAATTATGCAGTAGCGATCCGCAGATTAGCGGCTCTAGTGTATTCGCTCAAAAACAACTACCAACAGCAATCATGGTACTGCAGGATCTTACAAGATTACGAAGAGAATGACATTATCGAAAAAGTCACCTCAACAAAGCCTCAATCATTGAAGGCGTACTACATGCCACACTCCGGGGTGTGACGAGCCCACAAACCCAAGCCACTGCGAATAGTGTTCGACGCATCGTTGAAACAAAAGGGCAACTTATCGCTGAACGATGTCACTTACAAAGGTGAATCATTGGTAAACAAAATTCTGAACATCCTATTGGCTAGCAGAGTACCAAAAATCATTTTACTTTGCGATTAGAAGCGGCGTTTACTCAAATCAGGTTGACCCCTGACCACAAAGACTTATGCCGCTTTTTATGGGTCAAGGTATAAATGTCACACCTAGTAAACCAAACATAATCGAATATAGATTCAAAAGATTACCGTTTGGTGTGACCGCATCACCAAGTATACTCAACATGGTGATTCTTACCTACCTGAGTAAGCAAAACACTCCACTTGCTGGAGAAATCATGAAAAATCTGTACGTCGACAATATAATGTTGACAGCAAATACAGTGGAAGAAGCAATAGAAAAATACAAACAATCGTAACAACTATTCGCAAAAATCGGTATGAATCTTAGGGAATACGTATCAAACTGCCCTCAGGTGAACGATGCCATAGCCGAAGAAGATAAAACTGCGTTTGGCGACATCAAACTGCTCGGAGTGACCTATAATACCGACACCGATAGGTTTACGGTTGAGACGAAATTCCAGCAGCAAACAAATCTGACAAAGGAAAATATTGTAAGTCAGATAAATTCCATATATGACCCATTAGGCATAGTTAGTCCACTCCTCATAAAACTTAAAGGGCTCATGAGAGAAGCCTACGACACCAAGGCCGATTGGAATAATATATTGCCATCGGATCTCACAAAAAGATGGAATATCGAATGCGCAAAAGTGAACAACGTCTCAGTTTCAGTGCCCAGAATCATCACCCGCATTAGCGTTGATGATATCCTTAAGGAAAAACCGGTACTATGGGTTTTTGGAGACGCAAGCAAACTAGCAATAGCAAGCTGCGCGTATCTGCAATTCCCAACAAGGCGATATACGAGCAGTATATTATGCGGTAAAATAAAACTCACTCCTAAAGCAACTCCGCAGACTATTCCTAGACTTGAGCTACTTAGCTTATTGATAGCGCTACGTCTAGCGGACACAGTTTTGCAAGAACTGACAAAAATCGCAGAAATCAAAATAGTCAGCGATAGCGAGATAGCACTACACTGGTTATCATCATCTCGCACGTTTCCGATATTTGTGACAAATCAAAAAGACAAAATCATCAAAATAAAATCGCAAATCGAAGCAAAAAACATATCAGTTACCTTCCTACATGTATCCACAGCGTACAATCCAGCTGACAAAGGCACCAGAGGATTGACCACGTCCGAAATTAACGAGAGTGCCTGGATCCGTGGTCCACAGTGGTTGAATGACGACCCTCAAAGATGGCCTCTGAAAAATATAAGCTGTTTTAACGATATCAACGATGATGAACAGCTAAATGTTGCTGAGATAAAAGACGAAACTATTTCAGCTCCTGTTCTCACGGAAACGGACGTAACTACTGATAAATTATTCAGCCTAGAACGCTTCTCCAAGCTCAGTAGATTACTTCGAACAGTAGCTTTAGTCTCAAAGCTCTTAATCAAATGGGCTAATGCTACAAACAGTCATCGCTCAACACAATTACGACTTCACATCGAAGACCAGTTTAGCAATGATGACCAGATAGTTGCAAAAGATATCGCAGCTAGTGAGATGATAATTTTTGCACAAGAACACAGAGATATAAACGTGAACACTCTCCAAAAACGTTTTGCTAACCAGAAGGTGATACGCGATGAAAACGGAATAATCCGCTACGAGTCTAGACTGCAAAATGCGGCGCTGGCATATGATACGAAATTCCCGGCCGATGCACCATAAATGTGGTGGCTGTAGGCTTTATTGTAGCCTTAGGCGAATGGGTGGCGCCTGTAGTGGAGTGTGGTGGCTTCTGAAGTGTTATTAGAAAACGTAAGCTGTTAGAGCTTTATTGAACAGACGACATGCACCCATTCGTGTAGTGGTAGAATGCTAACTATGATAGGCGTGGCAAAGTAATGCTACAAACGTCTGGGCGATAATATACTCATATCAAAGCAGGTCATGCTCATGGCATGACCTTTACGGGGCTCAGGCAGGAGTAATGATATGGATGTAAGGAAGGTGCCGACAAGTCGGCACAACATATATGAAAACAGTACAATTCCGCTCGCACTGCATGCCTTCCCTACCGACTGCCAACAAAAATTGCTCTCAAATTTACACGCGCAAGCCAATCTTATACGCGCTCGGAGTAGTTGGCAATGCTGCTTTACCATTGGAGGCTGACCACCGCAATGCTATAAACACTGGGTCCCGCAATGATTCAGCGTCTTTAGCTCCACTCATCCTATTATATATTTCAAAGCGAAGGGTACTGGAAACGCTTGTTTTTTTTCCATTTTCAAGCTCACTAAAGTGCATGTTCGGGGTCAGCGCATTGGATAACCTCTGTAAGCGAGAATTCGACTAGGTTAAGAGTTGCCAAACCACAGCCTTTGAGACTCAATTTTCCAAGACCACCTAGAGCATTCCATATCACCGTGTCGGTGTGTACGCCAGCGGCGTGGTCCGCACAACCCGTAAAGTCAGTTCCAACCCTTACACGGCACATCCCGTGTTAAATTTCGTCCTTTTTTGCCCATTCTGAACGTCTAAGTACAAACCATGTAAATACTTATTTTGAAAACATATATACAGTAGTATTTTTATATTTTATTTTATTGATATACATTGATCATCCGAACGACTACGGCGCGATCACGGAATGATCGGATTAAACCGCAGAATGTGTTTTGCTGATCAACCAGTGATAATAGGAAACTCCTAGTTGTGAAGAAAGCTTCTTAATGTACGATTTTATCGAAATGATTATTTTTCGCAGGTAAACCCCCATATACCACCTTATCACTTCGATGTGGTCATGAATGTTACAATTCAAAGTCATCCAGAGTATGACCTGGAAAAGTAAGTGCATTCGTATTCGTCCTCACCTGATTATTTGATAAAAAGCATTGCAGATATGGGCCATTTGGAGGTTTCCATTCAGTGACGGCTCCACTCCATTTTGCCAACTCGGCCATTCTTCTTGCTATCGCTATCACTCTACCTACCGTTATTTTATACTGGAGATCCCTCATCCTAAAAGCCCTCAATGAATCAGGTGAATCATTTAGCGAGAGAACTAAGAAGAACTCAAGAATACTATTGAAGGTTAGTGCTTTGTCATCAAGCACGAACATAACTAATTTATAAATTTCAGGCTTTGACGGTACAAGCTCTCACGCCTCTCGTCTGCTATGTACCGATCGGGTTTCTCTACTTTGCATCACAGTTTAGCGGACATCGTTTTGTATTTGTAGAATATTTTCTGGCAATATTTACGACATTGCCGTGCGCTATCGATCCAATACTTACTGTTTATTTTATCACACCTTATAGGAACTGGGTTGCCCGACAAATTCGCAAAAATATGGTAGAGAAAACGTGGGCAAAATCGCGATTCAGAATTCAAAAGAATAGCTCGAGCAGTGTGACTATCATAAAAGCGTAAAAAGTTGTACAGTAGGTGGATCTGACTTATTATGAAGGTTTTGGCGTGTCTAATAATTTTCATCTCGATATCTGCAAGAAGTGGTACACGTTTTTTTTACAGCAGCCTGTCCCAAATCTTGTAATCTCAGCTTCTTCCTTCATTCTTCCTCCCCCTCAGTTGCCGCACAATCTTGTAATAAATTATTTTCTGACGTCTGTTACAACATTGCTGTAATAAACCGCTTTGTGATTACTCATTGCCAAATTAATTTCCCCTAAAGACTGCATCCGAAGAATGGAAGTCGGTTGTAAAGCTGTTGTTCAGCGATTTTTTTCTCAGACAACAAAGAAGTATGTTTACTGATAAATGGGTGTCCATAGATGTGGGATAATAAATTCAAAGTGCATTCTATGATGATCGGAAGTAAAAGATGTTAGTAAGTGCTTACTTGAGGGAGGCTGATGGAACCATTTCTTGCACCAAAAAAAATTTTTTTTGAAGTTGAAACAACTGACCAATCTACACAATATGCTCTTTATCATGTAAATATATCAAAAGTAGTATTTTGAAGTACATTCTGGCAATTCAGTATGACACCAAACGCACACAATGTAGAGAAGGCTTTGCGCTATCACATGGTATCATTGCGTTTGCTAGAAGCTATTCTAGAGGAAACAGAAAATGGAGGTTTTGAATATTAGTGACCATCTGCCTTTGAAACAAATTTGATAGGTACGGAAGCGTAACAGGCATGAGACCAAGGCTATATTCTTTACGTCTCCCAAATAGGAATTGATAGAACTCGGGAAGGATACATTTATACTTTGAAACGATAATTTTTCGCTTTCCTTCGCGCAATTCTAACCAAATTTCCAGTGTGCGACTACACCTCCCTTTAAGGTACAAGAAGCAGTTATCGTGAAGGCGTGCTGGTACTACCTGAGAGTGACGGCGGGTGAACTTGCCAAGTTAAAGGGCTGTGGATCCCAGAAGAGGCTACTTGAGATTTCAAAAGCTGAATGCATTTGTAAAGAGAATCATGTGTGCAACAACTTTTGTTTCTAGGTACTTCTCTTCTCATTTCATCTAAAAAATACTAGGCTCAAAGACTTTTGCCGCACCTTGCAGAAATGGTTAGTAAGCTACATATCTGGTATTATCACCTGTAGCAGTAGCCATGCCCCCGAAAAAAATTTTATAAGACTAAATTGAATTTTTTTTCGAATTTTTAAAAAATATATTGATTACTACAAGTTGAACAAGTCGCTTGCACATTTGTATAACTTATACAAGTGACTTTTAAAATTTCGCGGCCCTATCCTGAGGAGGGGGAGGGGCTTGCTTTATCAAGAAATGACAACAAATATAAAGACGCCATCAACCTAACTTATGCAGCCCAATAATATTTAGGTCAAAATATTACCAAGTAATTTAGTCAAGAACGATCAGTACAGGGAAAAATGTGCGGTCCCTCATTTTCAGCGGCTAAATTAACTTTTTCATTTCTAAAAAGTAATGTTTGAAAAGAAAGCGAGTGACCCTTACACAGGAACTAACACCATAAAAGTATGCAATGGGTCTCGAGAAGATTTTTGTCTGCGAATGTAATGGCGTTTTCAACAAAAACCTCAACTTTCAGTAGGGAACTTGTGACGGGGGCAATATTTTGAAATGCTGGAACCGAAGCCATAAATCATGAAAAACTCATCCATCAGTCGAGCATATGGTGCATTTGCATGAAATTTGTCATTTATTGGCATCAAAACATCTCATAAATTTCAAAGTTTTTTCTCGTAAAGGCTGGGATAGCGGCGCGGTTTGACAGTCTCCCAAATTCTTCAATGGCTTAGTGGACTTTTGGTATTTATAGTCCGCTCGACGGTGAGGTTTTTTTGGTCACATTTCCATCTTTGATTCTGCACCAAGCTGCAAATTTGGCTCAATTTTTTATGTTGGAACCAGGTTTTTGTTCGATAAAAAAATTATTTTGCTATTTTGCTGTAGTTTCTCTGTCCAGCGTTATGTCTATCGATGATTAGCGCCCAGAACCGCAATAACAACCGTTCACCAGAGTGGATTCTATGATTTGACCTCGTATGAGGTTGTACAGACACACGGACAGCAGCAGCCGCGCGCTTACACCTCGCGCGGTCTGCTTACGGGCAGCGGTTAACGTTGGTTGAGCTCTCTTTCTCATCTTCTTTCTAGTTCAACTTTTTTGTGACGGAATTTGAAAATGTTTTTCTGTCCATTCATATCCAGTGAATTTTGCAAATATTGCTGGCTTTGCTTTGCAATAATTGCGCGAAAAAATGAACACCACTTGCAAATTTTAAACATTTGCGCTGAGTGGCTTGTTTCACGACTGAATACATATTGTTGGCAGCGCAAAACCATAAGGATCACCAAATATATTAGACCATACTACATGTCCACCTTTTTTGCTATTCCATTTCAAACCAACTTATCCGTTTGTGCAAGCTTCGACGGTATTCCGCAATGTATCATGATACTCTTCCAGATTGAATAGCTAATTGTCTGATTCATCTTAACTCTTCATCTCTTCTTGTGTGATACACCAATCGAAATCTCTTCGTATCTGTTACATCTAGCCTTCGGTTGGTATACTTCAAAAATTCTTTTCTTCTGGCATTTCCAGAGATTGGAGAAGTCAGCTCATTTTTGTTAAAAATGAAGCCACAAAATATTATACATTTCTTCCGCTTAAAATGTACTAACTGAAATGGTTGTTCAATAAAAGCAGACGTTTTCTTGACATCAATGTAAACTTTTGCTTCTTTTGCGATACTATTTTGGTAGATTCGAAACCTGCCAGAAATTTTCTTAGACTTGCATAAGAATTTCCAAGTCCTTCATATTGTGGAAAGACGGCCTTCTTTAGACTTTTCTCAAAGATCAACCAAAGCTGAAAATGCTGAAACTTTGAATATCTCTTCATCGAGTCTCTCCATTCTTTTGTAGATAAAATAAATGCCCTTAGATGCATGCATTTCAGGCCGGCTTGTTGCTTTAGACGTCGGATATTTAACTATGTTCAATCTTCGACGTCATTTCACAGCCTCACCGAATACAACGATCCTTGCTGATGGATACACCGACGATGCCCTAAATAGCAAATACGATAATCATCGGTGAGTTATCGTAACCTTCTGGCCGAAATTTCAGCAAAAAGTATTGCAAAATTGCCTTGAGTACCGCTACTCAGACTGCCGTCTGTTGAAACCTGATAATGTCCCAAACATTTCTGATCTCTATGATCTCTAGAAGTTGATGCTCGAAGATAAATGAGTGAAGTGGCGAGAAAAGAGATTTGTGATAGAATAACACGGAAACATTGTGCTAGGAGTGACACATGTGATGTGTGGTTTTCGCCACGCCCGGTACACTGTGGTTTTCAGCGCGGAGATTCGCCTATGTTTTTTCCTCAAAGCCTGTCGTAGGGCTCTATTCTCTATCTCCTGACAATTCTGTTCTTTCTTTATTGATTTTAAAATTCTACATATATTTCCACCTTCATTTCTTTTTTCCCTCTGCTAGACCTAAATAGGGACACCGAGAAAGGGAAGGTATTGAATATGACTGCATGGCACGTCTTATAAGCAAGCTAGATATCCTTTTGTCGCAAACAGCGGAGGAGATATCGTTTTTGTAGCTGAAAGAGCCACAACTTAGGTTACGCTTTTTTAGTCAACTTTTCGTATTTTTGAGGAATTTTTACGCTTAGGGTTCACGGTCAAAGAAAACTGCGGAAAATTTTGAGAAAATCAGGGGGACTTCGTTTTTTGTATCTTCGGAAAGCCACCTCGTGCCAAGCCGTGGCTAATATTGGAATGAAAATCTTTATAAAATGCAGCAGGAATGTCCAATATCTTAATTTACTTGAGTTTGCTCATTTTCCATTTATTCATTGATTTTCTTGAACAATAAACTCTCTAATAAAGTAGCTCTTAACAATTGATACTAAATTTGAAATGAATAAAAAATCCAAGATCCCGGCAACATCCGGATGAACGCAGTTTCTCGAACAGAAAAAATGATGATCAAATGCCCAGATTTTGGCAAATGTTAGCACATTCAAAGCCTTTGATCGATTTCTTTAGATGCACACTATTACCCGGCATTAAATTTAAGAGCGCTTGATATCAAAGATCGTCAATTCAAGGGCGGAATTTTGAGCAGCAAAGCCGCAGTCAAGCATGTGAGGCTAACAAAATTATCTGTGTTGCAATGGGTTCATTTTCAAGAAATTATGGGCCAAAACATAATTTTTAGCATAAAAATCTGCACTCCTCGTTGATAAGAAAGGAACTTTCAGAGTTGAAAAAAAACCAAGGTGCCCCATTACTTTTGGATAACCACAATAATTTTGAAAAGTTTCTGAGTTTGACCCTAAATTGTCAATTTTGTTTTGCTAGTTCAGGGAATCATCTTTTCTAATCGGTGGCATAATGGTAACAATGGTAAGTGAATACTGAAGAAAAACTGGAAAATCTTGTTTTCTCAGAAGTTCATCCAACAACCTATTGGCTTGTCTTCTTTACTACGATTTTTGCGAGTTGTATAAACTAATGCGAAAAAAATGAAAAGAAAAACAACTTTTGAAAACAACAAACAATCTGCATTTTGTATCGACCCATTTACAAAAGAAAACTACAGAAAATCTACTCGATACATGGGTTTTCTCACGTGGGGTAAAACATTATATTATATGCTCCACATTCTTTCCCTCTTCGAGCTTTTGGTGGATCTAGTCATTTCCTAACAGATGGTTTTCGACTATTCACTGATTGAGTATACCAATACATTATTGACGAATTATTGAAAAAAAATCTCGAGAAGAGTCCTTGAAGTGCTAAAAGTCTTAGGACAATATTTCAAAGAAAGTTTCTCACATATTGTGAATAATTTTTTGAATCCGCAGCACATGCTTTGCATCTGTCGCGAGTGTGAGGCGATTTCACGGATATCGAGATTTATAGTACGCTATCGAAGTGTGT